GAGCTAAATAACCAGGGCTGCACATAAGTGGTCCGCAGGTGTGCATTCGCTGTCAAAATAAAAAACACGCACAAGGGTTAGAGTTAAATTTAGAAACTGTACTTTTGAGTTAAAATATATATTTATAATTTTAATAAATGACAAATTAAAAAGGCATGAACAGTTTTTTTGTATCGAAAAAATATCGAACCGTGACAACAAAGTATCGAACCGAACCGAACCGAACCGTGAATTTTGTGTATCGTTGCACCCCTAGTGATTATGTTACAAATAATGCAGAATCTGGACATGGAAGTACTCTATGGTTTTTATATTTTCTTCTCTACTTTAGACAAAAGTAGTCTATGGTTTAGGTAATTTGATGAAAATTGTATTTTATTGTGCATTTAGTTTGAGTTACAACAGCATTCAGATATCAGTCCAGCTTTTCCATGTTGGCATTGGTTGTGCCAACCTAGAATACCATTAGCATTTTCAGTGTTACCTCTTCATTAAAGGAAAAAAAATGTAAAGACAGAACACCACCGGTATGTGTGTTGAAGAAGTCTGATTTAATAGTGTATTGAAAAATAAGTTAACTTAAATAACTTTAAATACAACATAATGGGGAAAAACAACAGATTATAAACATTCTTTGCCAGCAAGGGGTGAAATTGCAGTGCTCATGTAAGATAAATTTACACACACACACACACACACACACATATATATACATACACACACACACACATATATATACATATATATATGTAGCATTCCTTTACATCTAGTGATTTGAAATGAGGTTTACCACCCAAACGTTCTGCCAGCTAAAAAAGTCTAGAAAATTTATGTTTATAAAGGTTTATATTTCATACACATAGCCTGTGTGTGTGTGTGGCAGTAAAAAGAAGTACACTGTAAAAAAAAAACAAAGAGCACACAGTGGTGACGTTGTGGATGGAATGGTTACAAAAGAAAACTGATCAGTAAAGCAAAGTTTTATGACCTCTGACCCTGAGATCAATGCCAACACTTGGAATGAACCTGCCATTCAATTTACAGATTTTGGCTTTGAAAATAGAAACACTGGACCCACCAATCTGGACCCACAAAGTGTTGTGTTACATATATGCGATGCAACAGATCGAATGGCAAACAATTCAATTTTTTGGTGTTTTACTATGTGGTCTTGGGTGGTTTAGAAACAAGAGGAGATGACTCAGTCCATCAGATCTGCCAAGATAAAGAGGACAACGAGGAATGATGAAGGGAAGAGAGCTTAAGTTTAATAATAAACGCCCCCAAAGCTAAATAATAAAAATACTCTACATTGCTAACCTGAGCTACACTGGAGAATAAAAATGAAAGTTTTACTCAAATACTGGCAGTCAGGTTAAGAGGACCAAGTAGCAGAAAATGTATAGAAGCTGGAGATCCAGACATAGATAAACTTAATAGAACATTTAGTAAGACATCTTTCTTGGTAGGTCAAGTAGAGAGCTGGAAATGTCTCAGATCTGTTGAACAAATATTTTGGTCACTCTATGCTAGTCTGCACTGCAAACATACATGAGTCTGATACCTCATATCTTGCTGTTGGAAAGCAAGCAGGACTCTGACAAAGCCGAGTATTAAAAATAAAGAGTATCTGGAGGTAAACACGTCAAGTCATAATCCACTTAAAACAGTAAAAAAAAAAAAAAAAAAAAAAAAAAAAAAGAACTGACAGACACTGTCTTTTGTCAATCGGTACAATACACCTGCAGATCATTCTACTAAGGTGAATACTTAAGTGCTGAGCTGGTTTTATCAAAACTTTGCTTCCTTTACTTTCAGCTCTTTCCCAGATCCAGACAAACTAATTAAGGTAACTATAGATTACTATCTGAACTAGCTTGATAATAAAATTAAAATCCTTTCTTAACCTCAGAAAATAACAAAAACAAAAAAACAAACAAATTGCTGCATAACTGTCATTTCCATCTTTTTCAGAAAAGGTTCAATTGAAGTAAGACTTTAAAAATCACTTAATAATGAAGAGAACTGGTTGGAGCCCTGACCTGAAATCATGTTTGTTCATGTCACAGGGTTATTTTATTGTATACACCCTACATAATGTGGATTGAAAGTTTTTATGGCTGATATATGTTCAGCAGAGTCACAAGAAACACTAAGAGAGTTTCTACGAGTAACACTGTAAACTTTGGTTGTGACAACTATTTGTATTGCCGCCCAGCGACACAGAAACCTGATGAAGACAAGAGGAAGTACCGCAAAGAGAGAAGTGAGGAGGGTCTGGTGACATGCTCTTCATACATACATTCAGATAAACGGGGATTAATAATGTGCAGTCATTATTTGACAGGTAACCACACCTGGTATAATGGTGTAAGAATGGCCACCCACACTAAGAATCATAACCCTCGTTGAGAATAAAATACATCATACCACTTTGTTCAGAACTACAGCGTGCCCTTAAACCCACAGCCAGCATGGCGAGGAACCATCATCTATATCCAAAAAACCAATCTATTTATACATTTCAAATCATTTTAAAACAGGGCAGAAGGTGGATGTGACAGGAAAAGGGAAGAGAGAGGGGGAGAGGAAAAAAAACCCAACATGACAGGGAAAACATGGTGTGCTGCTAATTTTTCTTCTTGATGTTGTTGTTGGAGGTGAGCCGGGGCCGTGGTGTTGGGATAAAGCTTCCAAACAGGACTCGACTTCGGGCCACCTCAAAGACTTTGGAGAAGATCTGGAGGAAAAGGAGAAGGAAGAGGTCACATCAGACTTGAAGTTCTCTATGCATTGGGTAACACAATCTCCACTTTGACCAACTCTGCTCCAGCTCAAAATCCCATTCTCAACGCTGCAGTAATTATTCATCTTTTATCCCATTACAGTTTAATATTTATTTACCAATCACATACAGCCAGCTCTGGCTCATTTTACAGCAGCCTTGATGTCAAAATGTGTGCAAATAATGTTGCTAGGCAACCTGGTATGCCACAATAGCTGCTTTATACTGTTATATTGTTTCTATGGTGTGAAAATGATGTCCTGGGTTGTTTTAATTTTTTCTTCTTTTGAACCCTCACCCCTCAAAAATCAGTATTTGATGAATAAGCCCATTTCAGTTTCACTCAACACATAACGTAATGAAATCAAAGCTACTAATTATTACTCCTGTACTGTATGCGCAATCAAAACAGTTTACTTTTGTTAAATTTTATTAGGCTAACTGGACTTGTTTGGAGAGGAGGTAGCTGCTGTCTCAATATAGCAGGATCACTTGAGGCTGGGTCTAAAGGTGAATATTTTAAAAGTGTTATGGACTGTTAAAATGCTGCACAGCATTAAAGAGCATTTTTAGAACCTGGTACAAAGAATGGTGTTAGCCTCTTGCTCCATAACAGCTGTTTTCCAAGTTATCTTGGAGTAATATAGGTAAAGCTTTATGTTGGGTGTGTAGTAGTTTGACAGGTGTGCCACCAAATGGAGTTATAGTCAGCATCTATCTACAAGGATTTTTATACATTATTAAAAAAGGAATTATATGATGCATATTATGGCTCGAGTTTTGGGCAAATCCCCAAGGAAGGCATCACCAAGAAGTGATGACTGTACGTTACAAAGGTTAAAGACTGTTGCAAATATATAATTGGTGGTCAGCGTGACGGATATACTGGCATAAATGCCACGGAATGTCAGGAGAGGAGATCGGAAGAAATTCGAGATGATGAGAGAACTGGAACACTGAGCTCTAGTGAAGCATGCTGTGATTTCTAGCATTGGAGGTAATAAGTTTAGTTTATTTCACTGGATCAACATCGTCCCGTGCCCTTCCCTCCTGCTGCTACTCCTCCCCCTCTCCCTGAATTGTACAGTTTGATGGCTCAGGGAACAAAGAATTTTTAGCCCTGCTGGTTCTGCTGCTGGGGAGGAGCAGCCCGTCGCTGATCCGGTTTCTCTGTGGTTTGATGACAGTTAGCAGAGGAAATTTCCACAGTACTTTTCTCTGCCACTGTTACCAGAGAGTCAGTCTAGCTTCATGCCAACCACAGAGCCAGCCTACCTTCGCCAGCCTGGAGGAATCCTTTTTGGATGTACCATCCCTCCAGCACGCCACCACGTAAAAGATCAAGCTGGCAACCACTAACTGGTAGAACATCCACAGGAGTTTCCTGCAGATGTTTAAGGAGTGCAGAGACATGCATGACACATCTCTGAGTTGTTAAGTCTAAAGTGCATAGGGTGAAGGGAAGAGGGGCCAGCACTGTGCCCTACGGTGCACCAGTGCTGCTCAGTCCTTCAGCTTGACATACTGTGGTGTCTCGGGGAGGTAGCTGCTTATCCAGGTCACCAGGCAGGGGTCCACTTCAATCTGTTCAAGTTTTTCCTGGAACATAATTGGCTGGATGATATTGAAAGCACTAGAGAAGTCCAGGAAAAGTATCCTGACTGTGCAGCAGCCATGGACACAGCAGGCCCAAAGGCAGGGGGACTTCCTGGGTCAAAGCCAGTTCTCTCCTCACCTGGTCTGCAGTTATGCAGGGAGAGGACTGTGGGGAGGGGAGGAGGAGAGGTATGTCCTCTGTGTCAGGTGAGGGTGCCAGTGAGGGAGAGAGACTGCAATGAGCAGGGTGTGGAGTGTGCAGCAATGTCATGTGGAGAAAGGAGTTGGGGGAGGGCACTGTAGTGAGGTGGGACAGTTGGTTGTTGGTCATACCGATTGAAGAAGGTTACCAAGAGTTACTTGGCTCCTCCAATGTCTCCTCTATTGTACCACCCCTCGTCTTGTGTCCTATCCTTTATTCTGTAGGCCACCTTCTTCCCGTTGAGGATAGCCTTGACCTCCTGTGTTATTCAGGAGGTGTTGTTAGGATAACAGCGTACTGTCTTGACAGGTGAGACCGCGTCCACACTGACAGCCTGCAATCCCTTCACTGTCCTCATCATGTGGATCCAGCAGCATATCCCAGTCAGTGGATTCAAACAGTCTCTCAGGGCACGCTCCACTTTTGGAGACCTATTTCCTGATGCAGTGTGTTGAAGCCGACGGCCTTTTAAACAGGAGGTAGGTGTAACTGTGAGGATTTTCTCCAAGACACATACATCAGTCACCTGGTAGTGCTCTGTCTTTACACTCCCCCGAGTGCAGATGTGAACTCCCTCAGCAGATATCTGTTAGCCTGCGGTCATCCTAAGAGTTTTAGATACCTGCATTCTATGAAGGAGGACTACAGAACAACCCAGCATTCCTTTGGCAGCTGTGCAGTAAAATGGTAATGGAGGAGCAGCTAAAGATGGAACTGCAACTATTTTTCAGCAGGACATGAAATGACGGTAATAGACAGGTTCGAGGAATGATGGACAAGGCTAAACAACTATTATTCACTAGAAGTTGATTCCAAGAAGTTGATTCTGTGTATCTGGCCATGAGTACAATTTACAGAGAGTTAAGGAATGGTTGCAATCACGGAATTGTAAGGTGGAGAAAGATCACCATCTTTGCCATGGTGCTGATGGCCATTGATCAATGGTTATTGATCAATAGTTATGACAATTTGCATATTAACGATCATTAAAACTGGTCTTGACAGCCCATTGTTTGTCACTGGTGCTAATTTCAGTGATTATACAAATGTTGGGGAAACCTGCAGGTAGGTGAGACTGAAGAAGTCACTTGGATGAGTGACAAAACATTTCTCATGCTGAAAATGACATGTCCAGAATAACAGAATGAACCTTTAGAGATTTCCTTTTCTGGATGATTGAGCATGCATCAAGACATTAGTTATTATTGTCACTGGTCAGTACCAGACTTACTAGTTGTTTAATCTAATTGTTAACATTTTAATTGATGCTCAATGCTAGTAAACTGTTATGTCCTAAATGTTATGCCTCCCTACCTCCTTCACATCAAAAACACACAATAGGTGTCAATGGGTGTTTTGACAAAAATGAGAACACAACCAATTCGTAGTGCAGGGGGTCAATTATAGACAGAGAACAGGAAGGGGAGTGTATGAGATGTGGCCAAGCTCCTGAAATTCAAATAATTATCTAAATAAAAAGTTCATTGATAAGTCTTAGTGGTTTTGATTGTGATTAAAAATAAATAAATAAATAAAATCTAACATATCTCCCTAGTCCTGCAACTATTAAAAAAGGAAAGATATACGTGAAGCAAGGGCTCACCTTTCGTGGAGTCCTCTGGAAGCATTAAGGGGCAAATATGAAAGATTAATCAAAAAAGCAAGAACAGAAAAACCAAAAATGTCAGAACTATGGTAGTGAAGCTAATTTGGGGAAGGTGGGTTGGAGCACCATGTCAATGTTTCTTTGACAGAAAGCACTTACTTGGAAAAAAGAAAAAAGCGCCTGTATAAATAGCCGCGAATGGGTGAATGAGGCAAGTTGTATAAAATGCTTTGAGTGCTTAGGAACAGTAGAAAAGCACCATATATGAACCAGTCCATTTACGATGTAAATGTACCAGTTTACCATGTATCAGTGTCAGTCACACTTGCGACTAATGCTTCAACTTGTTTAAAAAAAGCAAGCTGTTGCTGCTCCCATTCACAGCCATTTGTTTTTGACTGCGACAAATCTACAGCAAAGCTACAGAAGAATTAATTTTATTCTTTATTGGGGCTGCTACTGAACTATTATTAATATTAATAATTAAAGTTAATAATTAAATAACTATAAATAAATCTACATCCTCAGAACATCTTTTCTGCAGCAGGAAACATTACATCGAAGTACAAAGAAAAACCTCACTTTTGCATACATTTTTTCTTCAAGGTCCTTTAAAGCCTTACAGAAACAGTCACTTATTTAATAGCACACGTACACACACAAAATATATCTCATCTGGGAGTCAAAGCTGTCAGAACCTTCATTGAAGTTCTACGTATATCTTGCACCTTATTGTGTACTGTTCTTGTGTTCTATGCTTAAATATTGAAAAATAAAATATTCAGTAAATTAACCTCCAAGGACCTGGCATCCACATATGTGGACATCACATTTTGGGATGTCTAGACCAAAATACTTAATTTTTCTCTACAAGGGCCTGATATTCACTTACGAGGACAGTATACTGCCACTGTTCTATCAAAATTCAAAACAAATATCGTCATATGTAGATCTCATTTTTCTTAGAAACAAAAATTAGGTAAAAAAAAATCTGGTAATTCTTTGTTTTTACATTCATCAGGTCCCAATCAGCCCAAATATCAAAGAAAAATTAAAAATGCATGCCATGAAAGAGTTCGGGTCTTAGGAGGTTAAACTCCTGACAAATAGAGGTACTTGAATTTTAAATAATAAAATTTAGACAGTTGATGATGGCAATCACCTCTCACTTTTGAAAACTTTTGAGTGAAGCATAAAAGGTGGGGAGAAAACATTGATATACCATGACCTAAATGAGAACCTACATAAAAATACTGATATACAGTGATGGGAATAACGGGGTTACAAGTAACGGCGTTACTAAGGGCGTCACTTTTTTCAGTAACAAGTTATCTAACTAATAATTCCTATTGTTACAACGCCGTTACTGTTACTAAGAAGAAAATACGGTGCGGTTGCGTTACTATTTTTCAACAAGCAGACGGTTGAAGCTGTCTTCAGCTTACCACATCTTATATCAGTTGTACGAAAGTAGCTGTAAGTAATCTGGGCGCTACAGCTTCAAGCAGCTGCGTGCGCTCTCGCAGGCGGCAATCACTTTCTGGCAGACGATGACTTTTTGGCACAACACCTGGAGCTAAGGGGGCAAAACAATCGCATGAGTGCTGCTGTTTGACTGAGGAAGAATAAAGTAGTCGTGGTAAGCCAATCACACGACCACTTCAAGATGACAAAGCAACAAGGTGCCAGTTTTTAAATTGTACTGATAGACCACGTAAAACCAGAGTCATGATAAACAATATATACGTGGCGTTTTTTCCTCAACAGTTTTGTAACGTTTACTGTCTAAGGACAGTGCAGCGAGCACTCTCTGCTTATGACCAAAAAACAAAAAAAACAAGAAACAGCCCTTTGGTGTTGGTGGAAAAATGCACCATGACGACCAATCAAAAATGATATGGCAACATGACATTTGGCTGTTTAGGAAGAGGGGGGCGTTTTAGGAGTGACGGCGAGAGAGAGAGAAAGACAGCAGAAAAAGAGAGAGAGCGAGTTTTGAGATGTGAGAGATTTGTGACGTTTAGTGTGTTTGGAGTGTGTAGTTAATGTGTTGTCTTGTGCAGTTAGCGTGTAGCGTTTTGAATATTTTTGCGTTGTGTGTCAGAACAATGAGGCGACTGCGGTCTCCAGGTAGAAAACAGGAGGAGTGATATACCTCCTGCTGTCAGACCTGCAGGTATCAGGCTGTGATGTTCTCCTTTATAGTGGACAGACATTTTTGGAGTGGCACAAATAATTTGTGTGGCATCTTATTGAATGCAGAACAGCTGATTGTTATGTAAATAGTTTGAAATGGTTATTTGAAAAAGGGTAAAAGGTAAATGGACACAAATAACTTTGTTGTTTGCAAAACTTGCATAGGATTTTGAAATTGACCATTTATATTTGCATTTAAAGTTATGAAATATGATTCAATAAACATGTTTGAGGTTGTTACAGTAAAAAATATAACCTTCTCTACTTTTTTGTCTGATTTTAGATCAACTGGGTTAATACAGAATGTCAAAATGAAAACATAACTGTAAATTCAGACACGTGAGGTTTTGCTGAAAAGAATGATACCAAACAAGGCAAAGTAAATAGTTTTTAAAGGTAAAATGTGGAGGGCAAATCAAAAGTAGTTAAAAATGGCCAATTATACCCTGGACCCCAGAGGGTTAAACATTTTTTAAAGTAACGCAATAGTTACTTTTCAAGTAATTAATTACTTTTAGAATCTTGTAACTCAGTTACTAACTCAGTTACTTTTTTAAAGAAGTAACTAGTAACTATAATTAATTACTTTTTCAAAGTAACTTGCCCAACACTGCTGATATACTCAATCAATCAGTTAATCAATCATTCACTGACATAAAGATTAGAAGAAATTTGCACCACTTGTAATGCAAAGATTGTCCTCTCACCTGTTCCCAGAGGGTTTCAGCCACCTGGTCAATGAATCCTCCGACCTCGCGAAACTCTCCAGAGTATTTAACATAGGCCCAGATGCAGAGTGCTGTCAGAGCCAATCCCATCACCAGGTTGCACAGCGTGGCCACAGAGCTAATGCCCACAAAGCCGGTGACAACTGACACTATGTACATGACAAACATGACAGCAAAGAGTGTGGCGGGCGTCCGTGCAGCGTAGAAGATGTTCTTTCCATCATTCTGCTTGCTGAAGTTGGCATAGGCCTCATCGAGTTCTGCCTCCAGCTTCTCCTGGTAGCGCCGGCAGAAATCTTCTCCGCCCATCTTCTTGACAGAGCGGAAGCACCGCACGGAAGCCTGCCGTAGCTCCACATGACGGCGCTCTAACTCTGCTGGGGAAATGTATGGTTTGTCTCCACCACAGATCTGAGACCAGGACAGGAAATACAACAAAAAAATTAACTGAATTCATCAAACAAAACCTGGATCTCTGATTAAATGAACAGGAAGTAACAGTGTTTAGACAATGATCAAACTTCTGGCACAAACTCATGTTAACCACATATTTTGTGGTTATATGTGTACTCTTCACAAATCAATCAGAATTGAGAGTCAGGAGTTACATTACTTTAGTCTGACATCCAAGTTCTGAGGTGTCTGGATCTCAAACTCTCCAGATCAGCTTAAATCCATGTCCCTCAAAATGCCATATGTTTACCTGCTCCATGCTTTTGTTGTATATGTCTTTGGATCCTGCTACAGCTGCAAGGTTATTTGCTTCAGCTGTTGCCTAAAAACCAGAGGACAAAACATTGTGCAGAAACAATCTTTATCACACATTAATCAATACAGAAAGTTTTTAATTAAACTGAGATTGAGTGCAGCCTGATCTGAGGCATGTGGTGTTGTTGTTTTCCTTTAAAGCAAATGTATCAACTTGATACTTGATTGAAGATGTAAAATCTTCATAATAAACAGACGCCATTCACTTCTTAATCTCAGAGACACTTACTCTTCTGATTACAGATCATAATGTAAACTGTCCAGGAGATGGAGCCATCTAACAGTGAAACTGAAGGAGCTGAACCAACCTGGAGCATTGATTTGGGATGAGGGAGTTCCTCTCCCTGATAGATCTTCATGTAGGCCTGCAAATACAGCAGTAGGGTAGGGAACATTTTTAGAAATTTGACAATACAATCAACCAAAACGGATAGCTTTTTCTGTGGCTTTCAACCAAGTCTTACATAGATGACTTACTGACGAGTAAACTCACTTTGAAATAGTGCAGCAGATCTCTGCAGGTAATTTTGACTCCTCCAATCTCTTTTTCCACTAGATTTTCTGGAGCAAGCAGCGCTGGAACGAGGTTCAGCAGCTCCTTCTGGAAGTCCCCATCAATATCTGAGTGACACACCAAAAACATATTTACCCCCCACCCCAAAAAAAGTGTATAATAGCTTCTCCTGGTGGAGAAGCACTGAGTTGTGTGCATTCCATGTTTATCCCTGAGGGGTCAATTAGATCCCTCCTGCAAATAAATAATTTCCTGAGCAAGCCAAGTTGTTCCTTTATATCCATATTTTCGCATTTTAAGTAAGACTTGACCAAATATAGGTTTTTAGGTGTTATATTAATTAGATCGTCACAGTCTGTAAATTGAAATTCACATTAGAATAAACAAACAAACAAAGGGTACAACAAATGACACATAATAGCTAACACATCTAAAAAAATTAACATTACAGAAAAACATGGTGAAAAGTTATAAACTATTTTTGGGTTGTAATATTTGGTTGCACTGACACAAAGATGGCATATAAACATGCACTCCCTGCCAAACAGATTGAAGAGCTGATCATCGACATTTTAAATATTGATCTCACAGCTGGCTACAAAAACGTATACAAAACACTTTGAATAATTATTCTAAAAAGCAGAACAGTCAAAGCTCATCATTATATTCATATCTGCCCCTGATTACCATGCCTACACCCTCTTACCCAGGGTCATTTCACTCTTTATTTGCTTTGATTAGTTCAGTACAATCTTCACCACAAAATTCAAGAAGAATTATCCCAAAATACTGTTGATGGCTACCAAAAGCATCTGGTTGAGTTGCAAAAAACAAAAAAAAATCGATCCAGGATGAGGTCAGTCTGGTCTTGAAGTTTTGTGCGACTGCTCTATCTACTAGAAGGTGATGTTTCACCCCTCTAGTGTTCCTACCAATATATAATAAATGGTAAATGGCCTGTATTTGTATAGCGCTTTACACTACATTCAGTCATCCACCCAGTCACACACACATTCACACACTGGTGATGGCAGCTACATTGCAGCCATAGCTGCCCTGGGGCGCGCTGACAGAGGCGAGGCTGCCGGACACTGGCGCCACCGGGCCAATATATTATATTATTACATACAAAAACAGAAACAAACTGTCTGTCCTTTAAGCTCAGGTCGGGCCTAGGAGCCCGAGGATCCTATGCACTATCCTAACTATCCTAGGACTGCGCTCTTCTGGACACAGAAACCTGATATAATTCCTGGAATGTGCTAGAGCTGCTCCCCAAATTTGGGGGTCACTGCTCTGAGTGTTTCGATTACCTTCAGTGTCTTCTATAGGTCTTCTCTCAGCCTGTTTCCTTTCTCGAGCTTCTTCTGTTCATTCTTCCTGAAGTTGCTTTTGCTACATCTATCACACGGCATTTTTTCTCTGTTTGTTCACTACTACTATATGCATGCATAGTTACATATTATAACATGTAACATACCATTACATTACATATTCCTCCACTCGCATAAATTCAACAAACTGCACACATAGAACTCAGCAGCCATGGATTAAAAAAGGAAGAGTTTCTACTTTCCAAGACATCCTGCATGTTTGTGCCCTTGCAAGTACCTCTGCTCTGAGAGATTTTCAGGATTAAAGCATTAAAATACTGACACCTATGACACTTTTCACTACTTCCACTGCTACACTACAAACAATAACTGCTGATAGTTAATTTGGCAAAAGTCATTTTCAAAATCGTAAATGGTACATAGACAGTGGTTTAAAACAGTTCTTGTGTTGCTTCCACAGTGTAATTTAACACAATAACCTTAACTGTCCAAAGTGAACAATCACATTAGGACCCCTTTTCTTTTGGGCTTCCATACAGTCAAAACTCAGGTGATTTGAGCGAGCTTGATTTGGTTTCAAGAACAAAGAGTTACCATCAAGAGCATAATGGAGCAGCCCTCATAAACTAGCCACTTGTGTGAGATGCCGTCTTTGTGCACAAGTTCTGTGCACGAAAATATACTTGCACAAGTGATCATCAATACCTGCACAGATGGACAGATTTACTTGTGATTATGCTATTTCTCGCACAGCTTTTGATGTAAATATCAATCTATAGCGCAGAACATTCAGAGGCTACAGCACAGCTGGAATAATAAGGTGGCCACGCTATTGATGTCAAAACACAAAAACTCCTCACAATGTTCAGGTCTCCACCCAAAGCTAAGCATCCTGAGGGTCGATGAGCAATAAAAAAAGGGAGGGCAAGGATTAGTTAGTGCCAGAGCAACAATCCAGGAGCATCCATAATCGGGAGAGGGCCCAGCTTGAGGAACAGAGAAATACCACCCTCCAAGGGGTGAGGAAGAGAACATACACACGAAAAGAAGATGAACTGACCTTTGCTATTACAAGTTCTGTTATACCTGTGAGCCGCCCATCGAAATGAGGATTGGTGGCCACCTTGAGGCCAGGGTGAGGCAACAAGAAACAGCTGATTTTGGAGAAGCAGGAGTGGATGTGTCTGCGGACATTCTGGAGCTCCTCGTGTTGGTTCTGTTTCACCTGAACACAAGCCAGGCACTTCAGTTAATATCTGATTTACTGCACTTAAAACAAATTAAAACAATGTGAAATGTAAAAAACCGTGGAGATGTTCGACAGAAGATTGCCTCTATATATAGTAGGTAGGCAGTTTCCACCTGCTTTACATCCACTGCCACGTGACTTTGTTGATCTATTAAGTCAGGCTGTTAGGGTTTAATTATTCAACTCACCTGCAATCGTTTATCCAAGAAGCCCCGCCCTCCCTCCAGGCCGTATGGATGTTCATATGGGTAACTCCAATCTCTGATTAGGAACATCAGTCTCTTAAAAAACAACATTTAAATTATTATTCAGCATGGACATCAATGTGTGACTTTCAGGTGAAGAACATCTAGAAATGGATAAGAGTGTGCAACAGTTAAAACTCAAGCAGTATGTGCTGGTATGAAGAAAAAGATTGTTAGAAGCTTTGACCAGGAACAGACATGAAGACAAAATGTTTTCCTTTCATGACTTTACAAGTACTGATACAACAAGACAAAGCTTGTTTTAAAATTAAAAGAAACCTCCCTTATATATTTTAAGGACAATGACCATAGTATGGCAGACCTGAAAGGGTTTCTCATAGACTTCCTCCATGGCCAGTCGTCCATATTCAGTGAAGAGCTGAGGAGACAAAACAAGCAAAAAAAGCCTAGAAAACAGAAGCAGCTATAAAATATCAAGAAGTACAAGAACAATTGTTTGCATATCTGATTGTTTGATAAGCAATGCTTAATGCTATTTGTCAGGGTCTGTTTTAACATCAAGAATAACAATCTGAAGAAGAAACTGTGTCCCAGAATTCATAGCGTGGCCCTGCTCAGTTTCCAACAATGGTGGCAGCTAGTTAGTTTAATATTACTCTTATTATTCTTTCTGGGTCACAAAATAAACGTTTAACATATTTTCAGGCGAGAATGTAGCTGTGTAAACTTCAAATATCTGCTCAGTTTATCAGGACACCACATATTTTCAAAAGTGCTCCGACGTTTTCGGAGAC